ATATAAATAAAGCTTAGTATATTTAACACTAACCCCATATATATATATATATATATATATATATATATATATATATATATATATATATATGTATATACATACATATATATATATATATATATATATATATATATATATATATATATATATATATATATATATATACATAATTTATGGATATAAAGACAGTTACAAAGAATAACGTATAACCACTATGTTTGGTTAAACAGTGATAATCAAATTTTCTTTATTTAACTAGGAGAAAACGTTATTTAATACAATGCATAAAAACTTTCAAATGTACATAGTGCCAGTATACTTTTAATGCAAAATATTAGTATTGACTTTTAAAGCAAAAACGTATAGGCCCTACTTTAAAAATAAAAAACATTATGTCCAATATTGTGCAAAACAAATATAAGCATTAAATAAAAATATTTTTTTACAGGCTTTAATTATTTATTTAGCAAATGTGGTTTTAAAAAAAAATACTTTTACTTCAAGATAATCTCAAAAATAATCCTACAGTAATGCTAACACTGAAACCAAATATTGGCACAGATTACTTGAATTACACACACACACACACACACAAATACTCACTCACACACACACACACACACACACACACACACACACACACACACACATATATATATATATATAATATATATATATATATATTTTATATATATATATATTTATATATATATATATATATATATATATATATATATATATATATATATATATATATATATATATATATATATATATATGTGTGTGTGTGTGTGAGTGTAAATAATAAAAAGTAAGTTTATTACAATTTCAATGTTTCCTTAAAAAGGTGGACATTTACTTATTCCTTTACCTGCTTGATTTTTTTTTTCAATCGATACTGCTGTTAAATTACCCGTTTAGTGTTTGTAGTACTTGCTTTGCGTGTAGTTTGTTTATCTTCAACTGTAGTATTTTTGTCCTTATTGGTGTTTTCTTTCTTTTGATAAATTGGATCTGCTTTACCATGTCCATTTTCTGCCATTGGTGTGTGCACATTTTTATGGATGTTTTTATTTCTGACTTCGATCGAGTTTGTTTTTATTGAGCTTGTTTTATCATTAGAAAATGTTACAAAGGCTTTTGCCCACTTTTAAGGCTGAAAATATGTTATATTTAATATTAAATTATCACGAGTCGCAATGTCGTTACTAAATAATGTCGATTTGTCACAATGAACTTTCTTAGTACAACACTTTCTTATGTAAAACACTTGGCTAGCATGTAAAGTATAATGAAAACACTAAGACAATTCAATATTAAATTAACTGAACCATTTCAAATTAAAAATTACCTAAAACAATATTATTGAAACTTTTCAATTGCTACTATCTTAATTTTTATAAAATCTTTTGAAACCACAAAAAATAAATGTTTTTTTACTCACTTACTGTGGTATTTGTGTTTGACCTGACTTGTCTTTCACGGGATTCTTTTCGTTTGAAGAGATTGATCTTTCTGATATTAAAACACGGTCTATTTAATTATTTGTTAAGTTTAAAAAATATATGAAAGATTGTAATAACAATCATATAGCAGTTGCAATTAATTAATTAATCTAGTAGTGAAGCTTAACGTATAATTTGAAAACATGAAACAAATTATGTATTTTAAAACTTATAAAAGGAATAACACATTTACTAGTTTAATTAACAAAATAAATGTCTTTATTTTTCACACTTTAATTGATTATTTTCTGCATAACAGGTGTATGTTAAGGTGAGATCAGTTAAAATTATAAATTGACCTACTGGATTTTCCATAGACAAATAGCATCATTCGAAAAACGGGTACCACAATTGTGAAGTTCAGTGTGAAAAAGATAAGTTTCCTCTGAATATTCAAATAATTCTCTTGACTTTTATAAACTGTACACAATATATCAAAAGAAGAACAATTAATAATATGAAATTGTTGTTTAAACATTTCGATTAAGTAATGTTTTAATCCATTCCATGTTTAATCAAATAAAATCGATAACATCCAACGCTTTAGTGATTTATTAATTTTTTTTAAATATAGGTCTATTAAATGAATTTTTAAGTGGTGAACATTGCTAGTTAATCAAAACTTTTATTACTTACGCATGCATAGAAGAACTAACACGACTGTAATAGTGAATACAGAGAAAACCACAAAGTAGTTGATTACGAAGATGGCCCAAATATTGATAGTAATTGTGGAGTTGCCAGGATCTGTTGAAAAATATAGTCAATTCAGTTGTTGCTTTTAAAAAAGCTGTTATTTGTATGAAAAACGCTATGTATTAATTATACAAACATTGTTTTAATAAAGAAACTTAAAAACATCACTTCTATCAGTTAAAAAAACTCAAAAAAAAAAACAACGTCATATTAATTTCACAACGGAATACGAAATTAGGATGATTATATACATATGTGATATTGTATGAAATATATATTTCAGTATTATAATAAATACTTGAAATTAATACAATTAACTACAAATTATTTTTTATAGAAATAAATAAATGATCGTACCACATGCACATGGGTCAACTAAGGCTTGTATAATAATTATAATTATGCTGATCATTAGCATGGACACATGAGTACATGTAAAAGCCATCACCGTAAAGTTATTCAACATGTTAAGAACTGAAAAATAAAACATTGAATTGTGTTAATTATTTTAAAACATGAATGAATTTAAAATAATTGTTTTATAACAGTACTTGTATACAAATAAGAAATGTATATTGTCTATATCTAATATTTAATGCTCACTTAAAAGTAAAGTTAGTTTAAAAACCGGTGTTAAAATCCAATACACAAATTATCAGATCTTACTAAAAACCAGCAGCGCAATCCCCACGATAACACTTGTAGCAGACACAATGGTGTAAATTGTGATAAGAAGGATCCCTTCCCAGCCGCATTGTGTTGTGCATTCTTTGTCTGGTATAAAGATAAAAGCATTATGTAACATGGCGTTTAAACGTATTAAATGTTTATAAAGTAAACATTTTTTAAACTATTATGCATTCAAGCAATGTATATTTAAAAAGATAACTGTATGTATTTTACCAACGTATATTACATAAGAAATTATGAGTGATTGATTTGGTCCATTGATGAAGTTTTTTCACTTCCACAAAGTATTTTTTTTTCTAAAAAAAATAAAATAAACCACTTCACGTTCGATAAAACACGTTAAAAAGGGTTTTCACCACATCGGCTTTTGTAGGGATAAGGCGATTCCCTAACATGAGTGAGGTACTCATCAGAGATAAATGGACTCAAGATGTTCCTAACGAATTGAGCCCAGTATTTGAGACTTTTGGGGTAAACGATAGAGTGCTCCTCTACCCAAGCGACGTCGCCTTTCCTTTTAAAGTCGATAATAGTGAAAACATCAGATATTTATGCCCATTGAACCCTTTTCTGAAACGCACTATAACTCACCTAGTAAAGCAGTACATTGGTATTCCATGGGATCCGCAACACCACACACATCATGCGAAAATGTGAAGGTCACCTGGGCATTATCTGTCACCTCAGTCGCTGTGTACTCGGCACATTCAATGCCACCGGCTAGCAGTAGCCCATTTAAAAAGATCCTCGTGATACACGGTGATGGGGCGTTTGTGCAACAAAATTGTAAGTTTGTGTTTGATGGGCGTAGTTTTAGCGAACATATTTCTCTTCTGATATCAACGCCGTTAACTGTAAGACTCTTGGAAGAAACCGCTTCATCTAAATTATTTTACATAAAAAATTTACATATAAATATATATATATATATATATATATATATATATATATATATATATATATATACATATATATATATATATATATATATATATATATATATATATATATATATATATATATATATATATACCATATTGCATGTGCATCTGTTTCCAACACGGTAATTGTTTTATTCCTTTTAAAATAATTGGAATCTAATATATTAAGCTCAATTCTGTATGTAGAATGTTTGTAAAATGTAAATTGTTTGTCGTGGATACTTCGATGGATTTAAGTATTAGATTATTATAGTGCTCATGGTCTAAATTTATGAGTTAAAAAATACTTTTGAAAGTCTTTAAAAACAATTTTCATTTTATATACTTAGAAAAATAATTTTCAATTATGAACATAACATAAAATTTTTTTTAAAAGTGTATCTACGTTTATAAAATTTATAAAATTGTGTCTGAAATGTATTGACTACACAGTTACTATCTTTAAAAACCTATTAAATCGGGGGAAGAAAGAATTTACTTTTTATTACTTTGTTTTGGTGTTAAGAAAAAAATAACTTTGTTTTAAACAGTGCAATAGACTATGGATAAGAAAGGTTACTATAGTCTTTAAGTGAATCAAATCCGGGCGTCTTCCGGCACCCCGACAGGGTGCTATTTGGCGGCCCGGGCCTTCCTGTGAACGCTATGGTACCTACGTTCGCGTAAGTGAGTTCAACAGACTATGAATAAGTTGGGTATTATAGTCGTTTACTAAGTCGAATCAGGCGGTTAAGCCGCACGTCGTCATGATGCGATTTGGCGCCCCGGGCGAGACTGTGGACACTTTGAGTTTATCTTTGCGTTTGTGTTTTCTTTGGGTTTGAGTTTGGGTTTGCGTTTGTGGTTGTGTTTGCGTTTGTGTTATGTTTGCGTTGTTTTTTTGGTGTGTTTTGGTTTTTTTTTTGGTTGTGGTTGGGTTTTGTTTGGGTTTTTTTGTGTTTGTGGTTGGGTTTGTCTTTGCATTTGTTTTTGTGTTTTCGTTTGTGTTTGTTTTGTGTTAGTGTTAGTGTTATGTTTGCGTTTTTTGTGTGTTTTGGTTGGTTGTGGTTAGGGTGGGCAATGCCGGGTTTATGCTGATTACTAAACACACAAGTTATGGTCCTTTACAGATACATTTTTCAGAGATGCCAGTGCAGGACCTGGCCCGGGACGGTTAGTTAATAATAATTTAAAACTTTTTGGTTGTTGCAATAATTTTTTCATGATTAAACACAACATAAAAAGCCATTTTACCATAAATTGTTGGGATGACTTGAGAAGAACTGAAGCTTGTGGTGTTGAAATTGTATGATATATATCCGCGTAATGAACTGTTGCTAAACGCGATTAGTGCTGTGGCGTCAATGACGATGTGATAAACTCCATTTGTGTCGGTATAGTTACAGTAACATTTGGACCCATCTATTCCAGAGCATACAGATCTTAGGTCTACCAAACAGAACTGAAATTTTAAGTTAAATTACAAAACTCAAATTGGGTATTTTCAAAACTATACATTAACTCTTTGAATTTAGACAAAGCTGTTTTAGATTTTTTTATTGCTATTTTATCGGCTACATGGGAATGGTGCTTTAATAAATGACATTATATATTTGGTACAAGTCTTCTTCTTCGCCGTTCTTAATTATTTTACACATGAGGATTCAATCAACATGTCCACTTCGCGACTGAAAGGGACGGAGGTCTCCATATCTGCGGCAACTCTGTCTTTTTGTGAGTGAAGTGTATTGGAATGTATTTGGGTGCATTGGTGCCAGCGTGTAGATCAGGAAAGGTCATACATGCTGCAGTCCAGGAGGACGTGTTGTGTCTACTCTGGGGCCATGTCACAAGGGCAAATTTCGCCTGAATCAACATTTAGTTTTTTTAAACATGATATGTATCAGTCTGTTGTGGCCTGTTGTGAGTCTGAAGATAATATGTTGTTCTTTGCGTGTTGATTTGTATTATACGTAGTTGTTTATGTGTAATTTTGGTTGCATGTCAGACCGAAAGAGAAACTGTTATATTTTTTCATTCTTTGAATTTCTTTTGGATGTTGATAAGTTTTAGGCACATTAAAAAAAGAACTTGAAGGTAATAGTAACAGAATTAACCTAGGCATTATTAAAAAATAAGTAAATAGAACTAGACAATAATATTTAATGTTCGAAACAGAGACTTCCGGTGAGCAGTCTAGCTCCCAGAAACAACATCATTAGTAGAGGAGAAACTATTATGAAATTGGAACGTAACTAGAACGCATATGATTTAGACATTAGGCTCAACAAGCAACCAAAGATGATGGACCACAATGCCAAATATATTAAGAATGTTATATCTATAAAAAAATAATTTAGATACTAATCACTCTAATAAGCGAAGAATTAAACTCTTTATATTTGTTGCTTTAAACATGGTATAAATGTAGGCCTACACGTATCAAACTTACAAGTATATACTCTGTACTTGTTGGCACTTTATATTGAAATCCTATGATTCTTGACCAGTCAGATGATGCGTTTTTGAAATCAACATCGCTGTGAAATACAAATCGATCCTTTGCTTGTATTAATCCCGTAAAACAACTTGTAACACTGTCACTTTGCTTGTAACTGTAAAGTGTGATATTTTGAGCTGCTGCAAGCGCTAAAAAATAATATAAAAGTCAAAAACATTAAAATACTTTTTAAAAAATCTAAAATAACAAATTAATTTAAATTCATCAGCATCTTTTCCCGTTCGTACCCAGGACACATGGGGCAGATGAAGTAGAGTTCATGTTTCAGTGAACTCGGCATATCAGGAGATAGTGTGGCCAGCACTAAGCCCAGCCGCCTTTACTTTCCCTAACGTGAGTTAGGTACCCATCAGAGCTGGTTGAACTCAAGGACGTTTCACTGAGTTGAACCCGGATTCGAACTCTAGACGTTCTGGTTAGTTTAGCGCCCTAACGCTAGGCCACGCTGTCCGAAATATTTATTAAGATGCTTAAAACACTATTGTTTAAATTGTGTAAGGATAGGCAGTACAGATTTTAAAACATTTCTGTGTGTTTAATCAATTTATATGTTAATAGTTGTTAACCTATTGACAAGACTAATTTATAGCCGCCAATAGCGCAGTACTGGTTGCCATGTAAACAACGAAAAGGAGTGAAAACAAACACCTTTTCAAACCTCTATAACTTTATTTCCGTAAGAGATTTTTTATAAGCTAATGAAAGATTTAGATGTCTCAAACCAAATTGTACACTTTTACGTTTATTCATTGCGATAGCTCGTACTCAATTTTTAATACAAATTTTTACGTACATTTATGTAAAAAAAATTAGGGGATGGTGTTACATAAATATCAATATTTCCTAAAGTTTTGTAGTAAACTAAATGTACAAACGTAGTTTTGTAGATGGTATAATGCTAAATGCACGTGGAATGTTTCAGTCTTGTATTACAAAGGGTTCCAAAGCTTAAGTGATTTGAATGTTGAATTTATATTAAAAATGCAAAGTTAAGAAAACGTGAAAAAAGGACGGAAAAAGGCAGTGTGTGTTTCCTCTTATAGAAAACATAAAACAGTCTTGTTATGTGTGGAAGAACCATTTGACTAATAAATATGCGTTGATTTATGTTGTACGTTTTAGGCAGATGTTTCTATGTAGGTAGAAAACATGTATACAAAAAGGTAATGAATATAATGACTATTAATTATTACACATCGTATCAATCGAGTGTTATTCTCAAAACAGTTATCATTAAAGCAGATTAGTTTTATTTGTTAGCCGGTCTTCTCACTTTAATACAATGTCTATCATTGTAGCTTACACAAGTTTATTGCCTTTTAATAATAGCCTACTACACAATCCTGGGTACAGCGCTTGAGGCTAAACACGACCCCATACACTTCCCCAACGCTGGATAGAGCGTGAACCAATGAGACATAAATTACGCAAGTTTTTTCAACCGTGAATAACACATCCGTGTAGATAGGGTCGAGGACTATGTTTCCGTACACTGAATGCTTATCAGCTATCCCATCTAGTTGCTGGCAAACCCTCCACGGACTGAAGGGCATACACATTAACACATGTGTCGTTTACAGCCCGATGTAAAGGCTGATGAACGCGTTTAAGCCTATCACAGCGTGATGTAACAAGATTATAAACTGGTCGTTGGTTGAATAGCGAGAAAGGGATAAGGGGTTAAATTAAAGGGGATGGACAGTACATTTTTCACACTGACAGACATGTCGATGACGCTTTGTTTAAGCTTAGTAAAAATTGTACTAAACAGTATTTAACAGTGTTACAATGACAATCAACAGTACACTTCTTGGCAAAGTTTCAATTATTAACCTAAATGTTGTATAATTTTAAAACAACAAATAGGAAAGTATATATAAATAAAGTAAACGAACAAAGAGAGGCGATTGTTTTGTTTATCTAGAAATAAGATGGCTGATTAGCACATGTGATTAGTTGCAACCTATCGTAAAGTATTTTTATTTACTGTACAATAATATGACTGGTCAATTGCATCAATAAATCTCTTCCAATACATTATTGCTACGCGCATGCCCTTATATGGAATTTAATATCAAATTTTACTTTGTAGAAAACAACTTCTATCCCACTTATTTTTAGAACAAAAGAAAAGGTCACTACACCAGTGGGTTCACAGGATTGCTGTAAAATTTATGGTGCCTCGCGGGCTATAAATGATGTAATATCCGCTCGAAGATAGCCGCTGTCCACAGTAGTAGTGTGAAAAAAAATTTGGGGGGGGGGGGGTATCATGTTTCACATCGCAATAAAAGGATAACTGTAGGCTGTAGAAGTCCAAAATGTTCAGGTTAGATAGATAAAAGGTATTAGTACCGAATTAAGAAATACACATTTTGATGAGCAGATTATTTTTTAATCGAAAATAATTGTATCTTCTATCCTTAGGGCATGCGCGAGTGAAAAATACCAAATTAACCAAAATGTCTATTTCTACACCTAATGCTATCATGTTTAGCATATAGTTATAGGTGTGTATTTAATTTACAACTAATAATTATTTTTATCAATAGTTACTCACTGAAAGATATAAGAAATATTAACACATTGTTTCGGCAACATTGTTTAGTCTGTTGAACCATTATTGTCTATTTCCTGCTGTTTTTCATCTAATTAAGAGTAGTAAACATTGCTGTGTCTGCGTGTCAAGCCCGCTACGTCTTCACGTCAGGCGGTGTGTTGAATTGACGCTGCACGTCGATTTATACCATCTACATTTAACAGAATATACCTTTCTGTATTAAAGATCCAGTATAAGTTTCCTAAAGTATGTTAGATAATGAAAACCTTTTAAGTTTTTAAATACCATAAAAATTGTCTTGAACAGTTAAAAAAAATAAAAAAATTAATGTATGATAAAACCTATCGAAATAATTGCTATAGAAAGGGAGTTTTACTACATGACAGCCATAATAACTACAAATAAAAACTTAACACTTAAAAAATTAAAAAAAAAAACTGTCATAACAAAAATATTAATGACGTAAAATGTTGCTGCTCGGTGCTCAGAAATTCGAAGAGAACAATTCAAGCTCTTACTTGAAAAACAATTTAAATCCACCCGTAAAATGACATTTAAATAACCGTCTCCATAAACATGATAAACAATTACACTTAGCAAAAACTTTTGTCCATGAACCTCATACAACGCAAATGTACATTCAAGCTTTGTTTTTTTTTCTCAGTAGAGCAAACTGTAAATCATCAGGAACTTGAGCCAGAACTCTGCTGTTTTACCGAAAAGGGAATTTTTATCTTCTCTTTGACAATGGCTGGGACAGTGGTGTTGTTTGTCGTGACTTTGATCTGTGTGATCTCTCTCTACAAATATGGTAAGTCTAGAGAACATGTTTTATTATGTGATTTAGCCACTTACCCCAGATAATAAATACCTGCATATTAGTGCGTGGATGTGAAAAAAGCACTATTCTAATTTTATTACGAATTATCTGCAACAATTGCTTTACTTTTGTTTTAGGTTGGATGAAATGTCTGCTTACACTAACACATAAACAAACTGATCTTCTTGATGCTGGTCTGACTGTCTCGTACAGTCACTATGATGACATAGAGATGGTTACCATACAGAATCACCACTACAATCAGCTTGGTGATACTGAGACTGGTGACAACGTGAGTCACCACTACAATCAGCTTGGTGATACTGAGACTGGTGACAACCAGAGTCACCACTACAGTCATGTAGAGAGTCAGGTCCCACTAGGTCAAGCTGGTGACCCATCAGTGACCAGTGGGACACATGTTGTGTTGGACTCACAATATGCAAGTGGGCTGACCAACAGCTATTTATTACCAAAGTGCGTTGGAGAACCAAACACTGACTCAACTAATCGAAGATCGCAGACCACCCAGACGTCTAGGGACGGTTAGATCACAATCAT